CAGAGGCAGGCAAGGCATGAACAGGTGAAAACCCAGAGCCTGTGTGCAGGTGTGTGTTTTTGTGTGGATTTGCAGTAAGCTTGCTTTAAATAAAAAATTAACCTTCAAGTCCCTGGCGTTTTATGAGAGCACCGGGCAGAAGTGGTTGCGTAAGCAGGCATGAAGGTAGGTGAGCAGGCAGCCGTGCAGGGAACAAGAAAGACACCCAGAGGTGGCTCTTCTACTGGCTGAAGTCAGCCAGGGTGACAGACAAAGCTGAAGTGTCTACGCCTGCCAGCTCTTGCCTGAGCCTCACGCCATTCTGGCGTCATTGGATTTGACAAGAGCAAGTCCACAGGAAGCAGCGAGGATGCTGAGGACCTGTCTGTCTCACATACCTCTGAGAAGTTCAAGTGCTAACACCTTGTCAGCAGGTTAGTCAGGACTCAAACACAGCTGGAAAAACAGAGGTGCAGAGAAACACATGCCAATTACCGTTTGCTTGAAGTGTGCCTGATCACATTTTAAATAATAAAGCTGATGCAAAAGTAGAGCCGCTCTTACTAATGGTTAGAAAATTTACATCAAAGTGCTTTTGTGAATATTTTTGTGAATTTTTCTAAGAACTAAAAACCAGCTCTGTATTTTTCACTCAGAATAACAGAATATGAAAGAAGACGGGTGTTATAATTCCCACCAGTATGAATAATTTGGAACTACTGAAATCCCTAACCCTAAAGATTCAACATGGCAAGGAAAATATTCTCCTCTTTAAATCTTGACACACTCAGAAATTTTAAAAGAAAGACTCTAAATGTCGATCTTCCTCACATTCATTTGCACATTTTAATGATAGATGAGGAAAGGCTTCTAATGTACGCTTCAGTCTGGAAAAAAAGAGAGATCTCTTTAGACTTACCACCCTCCCTCTCCCAAACCTGGCTTAGTCTGTTAATGATTTGGATGACTGTTAGAGAGCATGAAGCCTCTTGGCGTTCCCTGCTGGAAGGAATCAGTGCTTTGTTAGCCTAAAAGTTTGCACGGGAAAATTGCACCCATGGGAGAGCAAAACAGGCATACACCGCAGGGGGAAACAGAGGGAGGGCAGGATTTATTTATAACACTTTTTGCGTCGATGCTAAGTCATCACATAGTCCTTGTAGTGCAGAGCAGAGAAGCACCATAAACGGCTAAGAAGTGAGTGAACAAAGATTCTCATTCCTCTCAGTCCCCATTTAGGAGCAGAGCAAATTTACAGCGACGATCGACGTTTCTCAAACTCTCTCCAAGTATCTGCCGCTCGCTCAGTTCCTCGCTGCGCCTGCTTGGCAAATCACACTTGATGCGAGGGGGGGAGAGAAGAACCAGGTGGAGAGAGAACGCGGTGATGGCGATGATGATAGCATGTGGTATCCCGGGGTTATTTTTGCACACAACATCCACCATTATCCTGACGTATCTGACTCTCAGGCTCCATTTTGTGACCCATTACGGCATAAGAGGAAGAAGAGGAGCCGTGGAGCTGCAGAAATATGCTTCAAAGAGCGAGAGCCCAGGAGGAGGCATCAGTGTTCGGCCTGCAGCAATCCCCGGTTAACAGTCAACCTGTCATTTCTGTTGGACTATTAGTTAAGAGGAAATCAAATTTAATGATTTAGCTCACACAAGTATCTATGCATGGGAGTGTGCGTGTTTTTTTTTTTTTTCTTCTTCTCCCCACTATGAGTGCCTGCTTGCTATCCCATAGCTTGGTGATCTTGCCTGCCTGGTACTCTTTAATGAGATTATCAGGAGTAGAGTGTCAGTAAGTAGGATCTAAAATGAAAGCCATTATAGAGCATTATCAGGGAGCTGCGCCACCCCCCCGCTCCCCTCCCCCACACCCACCAAAGATCCATCTGCCGCATGGCCACCCACACAGCCACTACGCCCAGATTACAGCCGTGATTAGCACCGCAAAGAGCTGCTTAATTTAAACACCTCTGGAGAACATGTGGCACTTTGCTGCACGGCTGAGTCGCCATGCTTCAACACGCTGAGGACAAGGACGCCGTGCGCATCGCTTAAAACAAATCTTCTCCAACACCCAAATTGTGAGGCTCGCACACGAGCCCAATCAAGCCGTGTGACGTTTGATTTCTTGAATAAGATAATTTTTGTGTTAACACACACCTTAAACAAATGCAGCTTCTTACTTACCTTTTCTTAACCAATCTGATCAGTGATAAGGTTTTTGTTGAAAATAAAATCACTCTCCAACCAAGTAACCGTTATAATACTTCTGTTTTAGTACAAATTAATACCGTTTGGTAGGTAATAACTTTAGAAAAACGTCTTTCACTTTAAAAAAGAAAGAACAGGATTATGAAGTTCAGTCCAGTGAATATTTTAGACTGAAAGTGCAAATCTTCAGCCTCAGATGGACTTTAACCAACAAAACCACCTTCTGCTTAACTTTTCTTCTTTCATTTCACCAAAGATGTTCGTTCATATATAAAATGACAGCGATCCAAAATCACGATTGATGAAACATTTCATCAATCATGACCGTTGGTAGAAATTAGATTTTTACATGGCCAGTAACATAGTGGTAGGTGGAGGAATATAAAACCTCCAGTATAGAGAGAGAACATGTAAGCTGCTGTTTTTGGACAACTAAAGCATTATTATGTAAAATAGTTATGTAAAATAGTGGCAGTAATGATGGAAAACAATGAGGTCAATCATTCTGTGAAAGAAACATGCAATGAGAATGAGAAGGTGTTTAATAACTGGCCCACATAAGGCAGAAAATGTTGTATATGATGGTTATAGTGCAGTAAATCTCCATGTATAACATTCTACTGTTGTTATAAAGAAATGGCTGAAAGTACATTTTGGAGTTGCTTGTCAAGTTTAAACCAGTCAGAAGCTTCAGGTCTTCAGAGATCTGATTACTCTGTTCCAGGGATCAGAACTAAATCAGACAAAGCAGTTTTTTAGTTTTGGTACTTCTCAACTTGACAACAAACTCCCTGAAAACACGAGATGTGTAAAAATTGTTGGTTCCTCTAAATCACGACTGAAAACATGTTTGCTTACAAAAGCTGACTAATGAACCAAATAGTTCATTAGTCCGTTTATTTGATCAACCAGATGTGGTTTTTTATGCTTATGCTTTTCTTATGATTTTCTTTCAATCTTCTCTTTGATGTCCTGTAAAGCTCTTTGAATTTCCTTCTCTATAAGTGATTTTATAAAAATAAGCCAACCTTGTATCTGATCCCTTATTCCAGACATTGATTAGATACAACATACCATCAGTAAAAATATGACTGGAGAGGGAAAGAGAAAGAGAGAGGATAGACCAGAAAAAATGGAAAATTAAGAAAAACTATCCTTCTAAATGAATTACAGAATGGCCAAGATGGCAAAGACTCAGTGCAGTATCAGAAAACTGACCAATGTCTACAGTGATTATGGTAACAATTAAAAAGTATTTATGTTAAGACAAGATTCATATAAAAAGCATCTGCGAAGCTACATTGCTTAAAAAAATGAGTGGTGGCAGAGGACACACTGACTGTAAGAAAAATGATGCAACATTTTGTGGATCGATGAAAGAGGGGTTATTTTTGTGCTGAAGGACCTACAGACAGTTTATCAAATGACACATAAAAACTGAATTCAAACCCGAGTGCATTGTTATGCATGGTGGCTCAGGCATTACGACATTGGATATTTATTGGAACCTTGGTATCTGGTCTTTTTGTTCCAGTGATCATATCATGGATCACTTTGAAACCATCAAAACACTCCAAAATGTTTTTGCTTTTCTGTTGCCTGATGCTAAAGAGGAAGCGCTCTTTAAATGGGTGTTTAAATAGCCTGAATTTCTGGCTTTAGTTGAAAAGGAAATCTGCAGGTTGACATAAAAATGATGTTTTTATGACAAAATCTAGACATTTTGAAGAATCATTGAATGTCGTCTAATTCTTTTGGGTTGGATTTCCTTCTGTCTGGTGCAAGATTGTCAACTCCTTACAACAAAGCTGTGATTTCACAATTACATGGATAATATGCAGCCAGGCTTGCATTTCATTTACAAATTCAAATGTTTACTTCATGAAAAAAAATGCTTTGACACTAAAATAACTTTCTTCTTAATTTTTGTACATTGATAATACAATTAATAAACCTCTTAGTGGCTTCATTTGGCTGCAGTCTTCAAAATGTATTTATGTGAAGGCAATTAAAATGTTTCCAGATGTTATTACTTAGTTTTTAACCTGCTGGAATTATTTTGAGTGCAGCTCTATGTTAAATTAATTTATATCTTGGTTATATATGTTCATTGCACATCAAATGCAGAGATCAAGCATTTCAAAAAGCACAAAATAGTACTTCAAAAGTACAGACATATTGCTCCGAAGTAACTTTAAAACTGATTTATCCCATTGTTTATGTGGAGAAACTAATATATTGCAGTCTATCACAGATGGTTTTTTATTTTTACTCTAAGGCTCCGCTGATGTTTTTATTCAACAAACATGAATAAAATAAATACATCCAATGCTAAGTATCTCAAATAGTTACAAAATAATTTACTCTTCTCTTCAATATTTCTTACCATTTGAGCAGATATATTTTTACTGAATCTTCATGTATTCTGATGAGCTTAACTAAATAAATGACCCTCTTACTATTGGCAGAAGGTTAAATTATATAAAGAAGGAGGATAATGCATTTACATAAACAACCTTCAGTATGGCAAAAATAGTCAAGAAGCTACAAACAAATTCAGTGTTAATAACTTGTTTTCTTCTTAATGTATAACTAAACGTCTACCTACAGTGGCATAAAATTTTTTCTACTTCAGTTTGTTTGTGAATTAGTTGTATCGAACATATAATTTTTATGTTTTAAAGACTTAGTTGAAAAATTCCCAAATTGCCTGGTGATTTTTTATTATTTATACATCTATAAGCATAAAAAAAATCAATCAATCCTCCAGTGTGACGCAACCAGGACTCCTTTCATACCTGTGATCTTATCACGAACGAGCTTGCAGGACTCGATTTCGCCGATGCTGCCGAACAGGCTGCGGAACTCCTCCTGGGTCATGTTCTGGGGCAGGTAGTTCACTATGAGGTTTGTCTTGCTGTCGTCGTTTGTTGGACCGGTCTGCATGGGCGAGGGGCAGCCACGGCTGTTGGTGGTCGGTCCATTGGCTGTGTTTCCTCCACCGCTGGGGCCGTTTGTCACTGGAGCCTCCATGTTACTGATGATCTTTGAGAAAACGCAGGAGGAGAAACGGGAAGATGAAAAGAGGTTCTTGAGAGAGGAAGGACTGAGCAGAAGGAAGAGACGGAAAAAGGATGGCATTCAAGAGGATGAGAATGACAAAAATGTTGTCCTGAAAATATTTTTTCTTGCAAATAAGTTTACTTAATTTGAAGACAAAAACAAAGACTGTAAATCAAGAGACAAAAATACATAACTGCCAACCAATAAATGCCACATATTCTACATTAAAAATAATTTTAAAGTCAAATTCATTCGACTCTTCAAATTTCTCAACGTCATTTTACAACCCGTCGCTCTTTTTTTAAATTAAATCTCAGCTTGGAGAACTTGCTGTCTAACTAAGGATTACTATCTTCTTTAACAGTGTTATTCTGCCTCCATATTTTGACCGAGAGGGAAAAGTTTTTTTCGAACATAAATCAGTAAAAAATTCTTATTGGTGCAGAACGTAGTTCTGAACCATAAAAGTTCCACCACCCTCGCTCACAATTGACATGAGATCCTTTTTCTGAGGCTGCCTTAATGTGTCTAGCGTATTACTTCAACAACATGCAGTATTTCCTATTGGTACACATTAATTTCTACCAGCTACAGCTGCAGAGTTACTTGCAGAATAAATCCTGGGAATGTTTCCATCTTCCGGTCTTGGCCTTAAGTTCCCTCCTAAAAGGCGATTTTATTTAGACTAGAAAGATTCTTTCATTGGTACTTTTTCCTAAAGCTTTCAGAGAGCTCCGTAAATCTTGGCATGGCAACACCTCGCACTTCAAACGCAAAAAAAGGAACACCAGGTGCTAGTTAGAGGTTTAAATAAGACAGGTTTCATCTGTTACCGCATACTGAGGCTGTGATCACTGGCAAATAGTCTGCAGCAGAAGCTTTTTCAAAGTTAAAAAGAAAAGGGTCTTGGATCGGTTAAATTTGTGTGTTAACATTTTTCTATTACTATTAAAATGGAAATTACAACAAAATCTTAGATTAAGCTGACCTTTATTTGAGAATGTCATCTTTAGTAAGAAGGCAGAATTAAAGAGGATGAAAAAAAACAACTATATGTATATATGTGCATATATTTTAACATTATAGATTCTCATACTGTCATGCCATAAAATGAAACATCCTGACTCATTTAAATCTTTCCTTTATAACTATGAATCTTAATTAATTCCTTATGTTAATGAAGGAATTAACATAATTCCTCAATGTCACAAAGGAAAGTCTTTAGGAATGAATGTAAATTGATTATTATCAAATTGTTAAAAGCTTTCATCTTTTGCATAAATACAGTAGCAAACAAATAAATCACGCCATACACAGTACATTTAACATCTCTAAACATTCATAAATACAGACACAAAAAAAGTTAAACAAGTAATCCGTCATGATTTCTTTGTGGTTCATTGATGTCTACTGAGGCCTGCAGGTAAGGACAGTATCAGAGGGAGCCCGTCAGCTGGCAGGCTGATGGCTGATGCTGCTGCTGTGACAGAGGGAGGTTTGCATATTTATATAGAAGTTTTTTGCAGAGCATCTCAGGATCAAAGTGTTCACAGAGTGACTGTGAGGTCGCTGTGAGTGTGAGAAAATGTAGACAGAAGTGCAAAGAAATGAGAGCCAGGGAGATGTGATTTCCAACTTTACACATTTCCTACCAAAACAGTCTGACTTTTGATTATTTCAATATTGTGAGGAACTACACAAACAGTTAGATTAAACATGTTCACGTGATCAAATGAAACATCTGTTGTGTACATTAGGGAGAGAGTGTGCATAAGATAGTAAATAGCCTGTTTTGGCACTCAAGCAAAAAACGGAAGAACAGAAACTATTTTTACCACAGATCTTAAATCCTCTGTTTCCCGTCTCTGATGGACTGCATTGATGGTGATTCTGCATGAAGAGTCACGAAAACTAAAAGGTGTACTCGGGTCCTCTCACACAACAGCAAAAGCTCTTTCTGACCTAACATTATGACACAAAAAGATGATGAAGCAAACGCCCTTTAATCTGATTACATCAAATTTGTAAGTCATCGCTCAGATCTCTTCTCCCCCCTTGCTCAACTACTCAGCTTTCGGTCTATTTTTAACTATCCTTAAGTATGAGCAGAAAGGCTGCACTTGGAAGCTGGCTGGTTTTAGCAAAGGAAAAACGACAAGTCCTGCTTCTCTATTTCTGGATTATCAAAAGGCGGGGCTGGTGTTCTAATAATATAGCTCAAAGCACAATTTAAAAATTTCCTTCTGACTCCAGAAATAGTTTCATGGGGAAAAAAAAAACAATTACACACTTACTTTGTGCTCAATTCTTGGCTTTAATTACCTTTTATCTAAATGTGATACAATAAATTATACAACAGATTTTATTATTTAACAGAAAAATGTTTATACATATTTATAAACATTTTCATTTTATACTTTTTCTAACACACGTTTTCCTTTCAGCACGTATTTGCTTGCATACATGAGCACCCTGTAATTTTTAGCAATGCCGTTTTCTCATGTTCTTCATTGAATTTCTCCAGAACAACTGTCAAGTAATCTGTCTCTCCTATGATACCGTAGGTTATAACAGAATATAATAACTTTGAGTTTTCTGAAAAATAAGATATGGGGTTTTCACTAGCTTCGAGCCATAATTATCAAAGAAATACAAATGACACTTAATATATATCACTTTGTGTGATGAATATTTATGGACTCATTTGTGTTTCTGACATTTCATGAAAAGCGAATAAAAACAATTCTTAATGTTTGGTTTATTATAACTAAACTAACCTTAAAAATGAGTCCTCAAAGTTCATACAACGGCAGTAAACTTGTCATCTAGTTTAATTCTGTCAGACTCCAAATAACTACATCAGCAATGTTACTCGATAGATTACCTGAGGCTAAACATCCATCCTTTCCCTGATTTCTGGAACAGCCTTTAAAGCAAGGCTGATTTTTCTAACACCCTTCTGTTCCTCCACAGAAAGCATGCCAGCCTTTTGCTTCCTGTTCCCAGCACACAAATGCACGCACAGGTTTGCATCCATCCATCCGCAGTGAGCAGAAGAGCACGCACTCAAAAGGCAGCGCACCCATACGGAGAGAGAACAATGGCTCAGGCCTACAGCAGAAAACAGACAGGGAGATGTCTAAAAGCTCTTAAGATGAGAGCTGCATGCAAATTGTTCTTTTGACAGTATCCTTCCCTGCTCACTCACCGCTCTGCCACAACAGAGATACCGAGACAGGCTGAGAAAGACGAGGGGAGAATGGCGTCTACTGTAGCCATAACAGAGTTGATTGGAGAGGGCCTTATTAAATCTGTTTACATTCCCCGCTGAGCACCATTCTGTCAGAGAGACTTTCAACTCCATGGGACATATTCTGAGGAGTTTTTACACCAAAATGGCTCCCTCTAATTAACAGGGACCTGCCGAGTCTCAGCAGCCAATTATATTGCTCTCCTCATCCCTGCCCACCAGCGATGGTGCTGCTCAGCGGTCCACTTCATGTTGGTTGTGAACGCTCCAGCTGTCCTGGCTCTCCCACTGTGGAGCCTGGTGCTGGGGACACGATTCATAGCATCCACATCTTGCTGACTGTGCACCAACACTGCAGACTAGCCTCATGAGTTATATTTCAAGCCCTGCATGGGACATACAGCATTGTTCTTTTTTTTTTAAAAGTTACACACCCACTGAAATCCTACATTGAAACTTGATATAGAATATTTGCATACATATACTGCTGCTCATCTTTGGAGAAATAAAACACCATTAGAACTATGAAGCCATTACGTTTGATCTTGAATATTTAAATTGGACGTTGTACTCCTTTATAACCTCAAACTTCACTGTATTTTATCCTTTTATGTTACAGATCATCTGTAAAATGGAAGATAGACACATGGATATGTGCATTCAATTCACTCGTAGATTTGTAGTTGTCGTGGACCAAATTATTTCTGGATGATGAACTGAATTTGAAAAGCAACCCAACATGGAGTAACAGAGTAAATTGTATTTTTTTGCTGTTGTAATTTTTGAAAACCATGTGTAATTTTGCTTCCACATCATAGTTATGCACATCCTTTTGCTCGTCTGTCACTTAAAGCACCACAAAATAGGCAAAAGTGTATTGCTATAATGTGAAAATAAGTTGAGAAGCACACGAGATATTAAAACAAAGCAAAGCAGTGAAAAAGCTTTAGAGAAAAGTGCATCAGAGTAATACTGAGAGGTTTCAAAAGAACTTGAGTGCTTAAAAATAAGAACAAAAAGCAAAGAAAAGCAAAGTAAAAACTTGAGAAAGTCTGAGTGTCTTAAAGGAAGAAGATGTTCCCCTGAAACATCACGGGAGACATGTGTGAATCATTTTAACCACCAGAGCATGAATATGTAGAAAGAAATTTAAATTTAAACTAAGTGGCTGAATATCAACTGAACTCCCTCAAATAACTACAAATACTGAGAATGTCAGCAGCAGGAACAGCTTCCTCTGCCACACATTCTCCCTGCTGCCTGCACTATAAAGCCCCCATCCATCAATCTCTCCTCTAGTTTCAACTGTCTCAGTCAGCAGCATCACCAACCAGTGTGCAGTTGTGTACACAGTGAAATATCAGATCATATCACTTCATGAGTGTGTAAAATGGCTGGGCCATCCAGTTGGCAGAAGTCGTCTCCTTACCATCTTTGGCTGAGTCAGCAATCCCTTCTCTGCCCAGCCCTGGAGCTGTGGGAGCTCTGCTTGACGCCACTGTGTCTCTGTCGACCCCTATGGAGCGGAGCACAGGGAGGGGGGGGGACGCACAGCCCTCCGTCAACATCATATACTCACTTTGCAACGTTAGGGTTATGGTGGGATTTGGGGAAGGGGGAAGGTGGGGTGATTAGGGTGTTGGCAATGTGGCATCATTGTTGTAAAACACTCTTGTACCTTTACAGTCACCACCAGTTAAACTAAAGCAAAGGCAGCTCAGGAGTGTGTTTTTCAGGCGTGTAAATGGAAGTAAACAGTGGGACTGTAAGACGTAACTTTTGTAAATGCTCAGAATTTTCGCAGCCAAAAGAACAATAAACGTGTCAATTGAAGCTTGTAGATTGGCGTTGTGGCTGCAATGACCTTGGCAGAGTTTATAATGAGGGCTTCCCTCTTGCTCTCTGAAGGTAAACAAGCCTCTGGTTGAAGAGGCAGAGCCGCCACAAATGAGCAGGAGCTCCGCTCACTGACTCTCCAGAGCGAGGGGGAGCTTAAACGCCCGCAGCTACCTATGGATGCTACAAGAGCCAATTTAGCAAGAGAAGAGGAAGAAAGAAGGTATGACCTCTGCCTTCATTTACTCCCTCAGAGATACAAGGAGCGGGAGTGAGGGATCAGTTGGGAGGATGAATAAAAAGGCAAGGGTTGAGTAATGGGAAGACACTTCCAATTGTTCAAAGGAAGGGAGAGGCAGAGGTGGGAGAGAGGAGACAGAGTATGAGCATGTTCTGTTGTCAATGTGTCTTGTAAACTAAGGCAGGAATGCATAATGGAGGTCTAAATGAGAATGAACTGTCAGTTAGAGAGGAGGACAAAGGAGAGGAAGGGGTGGAGAGGTCAAGGTAGAAAGGAAGACATGACATCTCTGAGGTGACAGGTGGAGGTAAATATTGAGATATTTTTGGCATCATCACAAAGACAAATCATTGGAGCCACCTCTTGTTTTCAGTGTGGCGAAATTCAAAGGAGTACTGTTGAAGTGGGGTTGGGAAGAACACGAACTTTATTGGGACAAATTGGTCATGAAGATTCAAATTAGTGAAGATTAAAATTTTTCTTTGGGTGAAAAAATATGTAAACTTCAGTAAAATGGCAAATGTTTGTGATTAAATGAGCATATTCACAAATGTCCTCCCCATAGTTAAAGACGTGGACGGACAATTCATTTCAGAGCTTTTCAACCTTTAATGTGACCTATAATAAAATTGAAAATATAAAATAAAATAAGGTTCTGCCTCTGGTTAAGTCACTCCTTAATTCATGTAAGGTTTTGGCCACCGTCTTGTTAAAGATAGTTGCTTTTCATCCTTTGAATTACTGCTGAGGCTTCCTATATGGTTTTGATTATTATGCAATCAGAATTTTCTTCAGCATAACAAGTCCTAGCTGAAGAAAAAAACCCTGGGGAATAATAGCCAGAACCCTCACCTGTCAAATTTTAAAAAATACATTTTCAAAAGTTCCATTGAGGAATTTTGTTTGTCTTAGATGTGTTTATTTATAAGAAAATTACAGCATCTTCCCACCATAGTCAGCGAGGACCTTCTGGTCTCTATGGACCATTTTTTGCTGTGAGATGTGGCAGGAAAAGCTGAAATTTATTTTGAGCTACTATAAATAATGTATGTACTGAAGACTTTGGGGGGATTTTTATTGCGTTTCACAGATTATTGATCACATTAAAGGTGAAAAAATATCTGATTTATCTCTGTCTTCTGTTTAGATCAGAGGTATTTAGAATATGTGTGAGAGAGTGGAGTGTGAACAATGACAAGGATAGTTAAATCCCAAGAGCCTAACATAGATTTGAAGCCAAATAAATACAATATAGCATAACTGACCAACGTCCTTTAAATCAAGAGAAAATGCAGGGCACCAAAGGGAAAGGGATGTCTATGAAGTATGCATATCAAAGAGATTTGTCCCATCCTTTTAATGTAAACTTGAAAAGCTACCCTGGAAAAAGGAAATGTTAGGCAGAGGTGAAACATCAAACACAATTTTTACCCACTCTGCAAAGCCGTCACTTTACATACTAAGTGAATGGCGTGCTGCAGCAAGCAGACAATGCAGGGGTTTGGTTGTATGTTGAAATGCGGTGATAAAAATGTAGGAAGCAGCAAGCAGATGCATATGAATCTCATTTCCAACATCGAACATAGCACAGGGTTACAGAATGTAGGAAAATGAAGTTGACATTCTTCGAGGGAGAGTTTGTGACGCTGCATCTCATTTCAAACTCCTTTTTTGATGCTCAGTGCTCAACCATTTGATTAAAACAAAACAGTTACAGGTGACACTCGCACACAAACACCCACACACAGCTTAACCTTGCTTCATATCCTCGCTATCCTGGTGTTTATCTCACAACAACACACGTGTGCTGCTTCAGATAGAGTCTGCAGTGCAATTACACAAGCCAACCACCGGGATGAAAACCCGCTCATGGATACATTTTCAATTATTCAGGGAATACATTTCAGTCGGCTCTTAGATGCTGGAAAAAAGTTATTATATAATCAATACACTCTATAAGATCATTAATATTTGATGCCACAAAAGTGCTTCCCGTCTCCTTGGGCTTCCGGCCAGTAGGATCTGGGCACTGCCGTCAAAATAAGACAAGCTTTCTCCGCCTACAGCGAAGAAACATTTGCTTTCCTCTAATATTTGAAAAAACTCCCTCACTTAGTCACCTGGAGCACATTTAGACTAAAATTTAACATGATCATGAATGAGAGAAAGTCTTCCTTCTTTCCTTCTTTCCTTCGAGTGCGGTCAGTGTTGTCACTACTCGTCAGCTTTTACTCAATAAAACTACCATTTTATTATTGCTGGCGTGGTGCAAGTTTCCCTCTCCCCCCTTTTCTCCTACAGAGCTAAGACAATCAATTTACCCTGACTTGGCCAGGATAGATGGAGGCAGGAGAGTCTGCAGAGGAGACGCTGGGATGCAGGATCACTTCACAGATAGACAAACTGCCTGGCAGCTACAATATGGAGCCAGTATTCAACTAATCTGAGCTGATAGACTTTGTCTCCCAATCTTGCCTGAGGTTTTATTTGTGTGTTTTCATCAGTTTTTAATTAAACCTTGATCCTAAATGTATTGCAGGTGCAGAGATAGCAGAAAGCATGCGTCCCCCTCTTCTCTGCACCTCAAAGCCGATGCCTGCTCTCCTCTAGAGAAAGTGACTCAGAATTGCAGTTCCTATCAAACCGACTGAGACACAAAGAGATTAATACGACTTTACTATCTCAGTTCCTCGGCCGGTCAAGTTGCGTGTAATGCTCTCTGCGCTATTGATTTTTATATTTCTCTCTCCTCTCCCTCTCTTCCTCGCCGTCTCTCCCTTTCACCATCGCTCCACCTCCACCAGCCTCTTCCGAGCCTCTGAAATGTCCTGCGGGTCAGACAGATGCTGGGCCGGATCAATCAGGAAAAGTAATCTGGGACGCCTCATGCACGCAAGCAGACACACACACATCACAGGTACTGACACAAACACACGGTCTTCCTGTGATGCTCTCTGGCCTGCCTGCCTCCACTCCCATCGATCTGCATCTACTTTACCAAATGGATTCTTCTCCTCTTCTATCCTCCTCCACCTCTGTTCTCCCTGTGTGACTCAGAATAATAAATGTTCCAGACCGCGCAAGACGTGTATGTAAGCAATTTTTCATTTAACTTCGGCTTGACTTTTTTTCCCCCTCTGCTTCTCCCTCCTCTCTTCTATTTCTTTTTTCCTTTTTGTGATGTTTCAGTCGTTTATCGGGATCGATGCAGTTTTCTTAGACTGCCTCGCAGTTCTCGGGGATGCTTGCATACCTGCATGAGGTCAAATGTCATGATAGACTGAGTCCTAAATTACGTCAGGCATCCTAAACGGAATCCAAACTTACCGAGGTACTACAGATGTTGACATTTTTTGCTGTTTTAAAACTAAAGCTCCAGAGTTCTCAATGTGCCACGTTAAAATGTCAACTACAAAAACATGAATTTATGCCAGAGTTTTCTGCATAGGATGTTCTGATTATGAAACCTCAAAAAATAGGAAGAAAGGAAAGAAGAAAGGAAGGAAGTTAATTAAGCAAGGAAAGAGGGACATGTGGAATGAAGGAACAACATCTCAAGGAAGGTAGATAGATAAAGGTAGGCAGTGAGGCATTGACATTTTGCCCTCTTTCCTTTCTGCACTTCAAAAGTTTACCTTTTAAGATGCAAGTTTCACTACTTACTTTAACAAGGCATAGTTTAGCTTCAAAGTAATATTTTATTCCTCACAAGGAGGTTCTTTGCTTATTTTGGTTTCATCAGGGGACATTGTCACTTTTTAGAAACAGCTACCGATATAATGGATCACAATATAAAACAATAACAGCGTGGTGTTAAATAAGCAATCGTAATTAAATAATTATTTAATAAATTTACCCTTGAATGGGAACTGTTTGACAAATATAAAATCAAATGAGGAAGTAATGAGGAGGCCGAATTGGCAAAAGGGTGAACTTACACACAAGTATTATCAGCAGGCTCACACAAGCAAGAGACACGCATAACTCAATGCCTTACAGATGTCAATTTCATTCTGATGGATTGAAATTTTGTTCTTTTCTGCTTTCTGCTATTTCAAAACCTTTAAACTAATCATTTCCTATTCATGCACCATTTTTCCAGTGATGAAAATTGCCATTCATTTTGTCTGTGATCCCTAATTGACATCAATTGACTTGCAAAATATGATACAGGTCATGACTCCTGATCAAACACAAGTGATTGAAAGTGCCCTTTGTGCTGGTAGTTTTAATTTACTGGAGACTAAGCATTTTTTCTTCAGTACACTGTTGGATATTGATTAGCATATTACCAGTATATCAGTTCATATCAATTCTGCAATTCTATGGATAAGAAACATCCTGGAGTACATGGCATCATTCCCTGAAAAGTCAAGTATGCATGTTTTCTTTTTACAGAATTCAAGATGGACAATCAACAGTTTTGTAGTATATACATT